AATCATCCACCCTTATGTTGTGGACAGAGAAACAGAGACCTAGTGATCCAGATGGTCTTGAGTTCAGATTTTGCCTTACTACGTTGAAGAAGTAAGGTTGATATAGCTCCTTCTGTTTCATTTCTTTCCTTCTTTCTTTCCTTCCTAATTTTTTTGGTAGTATTGGGGATTGAACTCAAGACCTTAGGCTTGCTAGATAGCAACTCAATCACCCGAGCCACTCCTCTAGCTTTTTCTTTTAAGTAACAACTTCATTGAGATATATAATTTATAAGCCATAAAGTCCCTTCCTTGCTATGTACATATGCTCTTTTGTGTAGATGTCACACTGAGCCCTCTGACCCCTACCTGTATACTCATAGTCCTGGCCTTGCTGCCATGGGGGCTCAAGAAGTGGACACATGTGTGTGGAGTATCCAGCCAATGGGAAGTCCTTGGTCAGCAGGAGCAGCTACTGTGATGACTTCAGGTCCCTCAGTGAATTCAGGGTGAAGCCAATATTGGCATAATACCTCCCCAGCATCCCCATCTCCCACTTCCTGAAGGCCATGTCTGGGCAGTAATATGAACTAGGTGTGGATGGGATGATGGCAGTAACTATAGTTGTTTAAAAAGCTCTGAACTGGATAGTAACTGACTCCGTGAGCCAGTTGGTCTTAGCTCCCACACAGAACAGCAGCACTGTTCATTGGAGCACTTTGTAGAAATGCAAGTAGCTAAGCATTGTAATCTCAGCACTGGGTAGGCTGAGGAGAAAAGGGTGGAGTGGGGGATAAGCACCTTGAGTAACCAGGAAAACAAACCTTTAAGTCTCCTTTGGACTCTGCCCTCATTCCAGAGATCTGCTCAGGAGAGAAGGGCATTTCCCCCCTCTCCCAGGGTCTCCCCTCTCTGGAGCACCACCACCCTGGAGCCAGCTCACAGGATCCTTCTGCCTGTCTCCTTTATCCTTAGACCCCAGACATTGACCTTCTATCTGCTGCCCCAAGAGATTGTATGTGTGTGAGGGCAAAGACCAAGGCCAAGGTCAGCACCGCTGAGCCTCAAGTTAGTTTTGGGACATCCCTAGCTTTGCTGTTGAGTCATTGTGTGATCCTGAGCAGGTCTCTGGGTCCTGGGTCTCCTATTCTCATCTGGAAGATGAGAATCATTCATCAGGAATGCAGGATGTCCTTTCAAATGAGTTGCGCAGTAGAGGGTAACAATACTCCCTGCCAGCCAGGCACCAATGGCTTACACCTATATTCGTAGATACTTCAGAAGTTGAGGACTGAGAATAATGGTTTGGAGCTAGCCCAGGCAAAGAAATCTGAAAGATTCTGATCTTCAATTAACCAGCAAAAAAAAAAGCTGGAACTAGAGGTATGCCTCAAGTGGTAAGGTGCTATTCTTGGGGGGTGGGGGGGGAACTGAATGAAAAAGAAAGAAAAAAATATTGACACTATTAATTCAAGCTCTGGTACTGGGAAAAACAAACCTAAAAACCTCAACCCTGGGCTGGGAATGTGGCCTAGTGGTAGAGTGCTTGCCTAGCATGCATGAAGCCTGGGTTCGATTCCTCAGTACCGCATACACAGAAAAAAGCCAGAGGTAGTGGTGTAGCTCAAGTGGTAGAGCGCTAGCCTTGAGCTGAAGAGCTCAGGGACAGTGCCTAGGCCCAGAGTTCAAGCCCTACAACTGACCAAGGGGGAAAAAAAATAACTTCAACCCCCCTTAAAGTTCATGTTTTCTTAGGAAGGATGCTGGGGACCCCAAATCAGCAATGGATATTCTTAGAGCTCTAAGAACTTCCACAGTGGGTCCTAGTTTGGTGACTTTGATGTTTATTTATGTGAATTCCTGCTGGTCGTTTTCTCAGCCTTTTTAGCCTTGCTGTGAAGTCAGTCAATCAATCAATCAGGGTGAGGAGAGTGAGAGGAGATGAGGCCCTTTTGTTAAAGAGGATGGCTGAGGAAGGCCTCTACAAGGAAGTGATATTTGAGCAGTGACCTGGATTAGTAAGGAGCAACAGGTAGAAGAAGCAGCAAAGCAAGATGAAGCCTGGAGATGGAAATATGTTAGATGTGTCTCAGGAATGTTCAGGAAGCCAGAAGGATGGAAGTGAGGTAACAGGGACTAGGGAAAGGTGGGCTGGAGGCCAGACCTTGCAGGGCCTTGCTGGCTGTGCTCAGGAGCTTGACCTTCACTCTCCATGTGTGATGGAAAGTCAGTGGAGCGTTCCAAGCAGAGTGATATTTTTCAGCTTTACATGGTAGGAAGATCACCCTGGCTGCTTTGAAGAGTAGGTAGTGTGAAGTGAGAGGAAAGGCAGGAAGATCCATCAGGGGCCAGATGATGGGGGCTTGTTTATGGACAATGAGAACTGGTCCGTGAGAACTGGTCCGTTCATGGGTATGTTCTGCAAAATTTCCTTCCTTCCTTCCTTTTCTTTTTTTTCTTTCCTCAGAACTCAAGGCCTGGGCACTGTCCCCGAGCTTCTTTTGCTCAGGGCTAGCACTTTACCACTAAGCCACATTCCCAGTCCCTGCAGAATATTCTATAGAGCAAGATGTGGAGGACAAAGACAAGAAGAGCCACGGGTGGCTTGGTTATCCTGGATGTCTGTAACCAGCTGGTAGGCTAGAGAGGGGACAAGTTCAGTTTGGAAGGCTACCAGACATCCAAGAAGAGATGCTGATAGGCAGATGGACATGTGAGCTGGTCTTCTAGGAGGAGTTGTTACCACCCCTCACACCTGCTAATGGTAAAACCTGTCTGTGTTGTTAAGAAAATGCATTTAAAACAAAAAGAAGGGGCTGGGAAGGTGGCTCAGTGGTAGAGCGCTTGCCTTGCATGCATGAGGCCCTGGGTTCGATTACTCAGTACCACATAGGCAAAAAAGAAAAAAGCCAGAAGTGGCGCTATGGCTCAAGTGGTAGAGTGCTAGCCTTGAGCTGAAGATCTGAGGGACAGCGCCCAGGTCCAGAGTTCAAGGCCCCACGACCAGACCCAAAATAAATAAATAAATAAATAAAACAAAAAGAAAAAGAAGAAAAAGAAAATTCATTTATGTATTAGAGGCATGGCTCAGTTGGTTGAGTGCTAGTCAGTGAGCAAAATGTCAAGTGCTGAGTTCGAGTCCTGGTGTTGGACCTAAAAAGAAAATGCATTATATACATACATACATATATACATTTATATATATATATATATATATATATATATATATATATATATATATATATATATATATATATATATATATATATTGGGGGGGGGGGAGGCTGGGCGCCAGTGGCTCATGCTAAAAATCCTAGCTACTCAGGAAGCTGAGATCTGAGGGTCCCAGTTTGAAGCCAGTTTGGGCAGTAAAATCTGTGAGACTCTAATCTCCAATTAACCACAAAAAAAAAAAAAAAAAGAAAGAAAGAAATGGAGTTGTGGCTCAAGTGGTTGAGCTTTATCTAGCTTTGAGCAAAAATGCTCAGGGACAGTGACCAGGCCCTGAGTTTAAGCCCTACCACCCACACCAAAAGGGGAAAAACAAAGACACGGGAGTGGGTGAGGAGTGGAACAGCTCCTCCACTCCTCAGATTCAGTCCTAAAATACAGTAGTAGCAGCAGCAGCCGGGCCACTGAGGAGAGGGCTATGCATGGGGTTGTGGTGTGAAGAGACCTCCTTGAAGCCATTTCATCCAGTGCCCTCCTGTGGGAAGGCCTGTGCTGAGCTTTCGTGGTCCTTTTTCCAGGCCCTTGGCAGAAATTCTTCATCGCCTTTGTCAGCTGTCCATAGACCTTAGGCAGCAGTGGGCACATGGATCTCTTTGTTGGGAATTATTTTCCTCAGTATTTTTCTTGCCACATCAGAAGTTAGCACATCTATTAAATGCCTGCTTCATAACCAGTTAAGTGAAAACAGCAGATTATAAAACCTCAGGGGCAACATGACCTCAGTGTTTAAAATGCAGGAGCTTCTTACATATGTACCAAGAGTCATCAGGGTGCAGAATTAAGGGTTTTGACTTTTCTTTTGCTCTTTTGCTTATAATTTCTAATATTTCTTGAATATGGTTTGCTTGGATAATAACAAACCAACATATGTAGTGCCAGTCCTAAGCCAGGGTGCTGTCCCTGAACTTTTTTTTTATTGTTTTTTTTTATTGTGAAAATACTGTACAGAGGGGTTACAATTACATGTGCAAGGTAATGAGTACATTTCTTATCAAGCATTGTTGCCTCCTCCTTTGTTTCCCCTTACCATCCCTGCCCTCCCATCTCCCCCCTCTCCCTCCCCCCTCCCTGAGACTTCTTGCTTAAGGCTAGAGCTCAGCCACTTGAGCCACAACTCCACTTCTGGCTTTTTTGGTGGCTAATTGGAGGTATGAGTTTCACAAATGTTTCTTTTCCTCTCTTGATGAAGTTTCTTCCTGTGTGTTGAGGATGAGGGAAGTGTTGGATGAGTTAAGTTCTGAAGTTTCTTCCTGAACGCCTGGTTCTGAGCTACTTGCTAGCCCCCAGCTGCCCAGAGGGGACTTCTTGGTCTCAATGGCCCAGCTCTGCCTGATCTCTCTCCTCTGTTCCCTTCCATTCCCTGATTCCCCTGTCACTGGGTCACTGTCTCATGGTGAATTCCAAGAGATCCCACAAAGGCAGTGCAGCCATCCTCACTCTGCAGAGGGGATGCACAGGAGTGATGGCCCCTCCCTCAGTCAATGAGCTTCCTCAAGCCCTGGCTGACCTCTGGGATACTTCTCTCAGACAACCTTGGAGTGGCTGGGACAGAAATGCCCCTCACAGCAAGTAACTTCCTCTCTGAGCCACAGCTGTGTCAGGGTGTGATGGAAGAGGGTTGGGAGCTTGGAGGCTGCTGCTTTTTGTACCCACCTCAGAGCCATGACTCCATGGAACTCTGATGCCAATTCCCATTTCTAAAGTCTTCCCAAATTGTGCTTCCTTCCCTACCAGGGAACCTATCCCATCCTCCCAGCCATCTAACCACTTCCTTCATGCTGCAATTGTAGATTTTTGCTGGTCTTCAGCTGCCTGGTGCTGTCCGTGTTGTCCACTATCCAGGAGCATCAGGAATTTGCCAACGAGTGTCTCCTCATCTTGGTGAGCACAGGGGTCCTTGCCACTCTTTCTGAGAGAGGCTGTGTGAGGCAGTCCATTGGGACCAAGGGCCAAAGGTAGAGAGAGACTCTCACTCTGTGGGTCAGAGAACAGATTGCTGTGCTGTATTTCCTGTGCTGGTGGCTGACCCTTTCTGGGCATCATTTCCAACTTTATAGTTAGTGTAGAAGGCTCTACCTCAGTGTGAGGCCTTAGGATGGGCCACGTATAATGGGGGGGGGGGGATATTAGCAAAGTCTATTATATACATCATGGAAATATCACAATAAACCTTCACATTGTATAATTAATAAGTGCTCATAAAACCGTGGAAAAGGCTGAGCATAGGGGCCCACACTTATCCCAGCTCCTTCAGAAGCAGAGACCGAAAGGAGTGCAGTTAGCCCAAGAAAATGTTAGCAAGACCCCATCTCAACCAATAAAGCTGGTTGAGGTGGTGTGCACATGATACCCCAGCCAAGCAGAAGGCTTCTGACCCAGGCCTGAGCAAAAACTCTAAATATAACAAAAGGGAATGGAGGTACAGCTCAGGTGGAAAAAACATGGGGAAAAAAAAAAGAAATATATGCAACATAAAAAAATTGATGGGCCCAGCAAACAGGATGAATAGGCACCACCCTGTCCCAAGAAAAAAATGTCTCCACCCCTGACTAAACAGAACACCAAAACAGAAGCTCCTTGGAGACAGCCACCTCTTTATGTCACCCAGTCAGAGCTGGGGAGCCTCACATGGCTGTGGGTAAAGGCCAGGTTGAGGAAAAACCCAGGCAGCCAACCGGGAGGACAGATGTGCAAGGCATCACTTCCTTTCTGGAATCCTAATCCTTCTAGGAGTAGAACCCCCCAGAGACCAATCCGAGGGTTGCTGGTCCCCCTAACCCAGTGTTCTGGCTGCGCCAGGTTCTGTCTGCCCTGGGCCCTGGCCCCTGAGAGTGGGGACCAGAGCTCACCCCACCCCGTCCCCACAGGAATTCGTTATGATCGTGGTGTTTGGCCTGGAGTACATCATCCGCGTGTGGTCCGCTGGCTGCTGCTGCCGCTACCGAGGATGGCAGGGCCGCTTCCGCTTCGCCAGGAAACCCTTCTGTGTCATCGGTACAGGGCCTTTCCCACTGGGCCTGGCTCCTGACTCCAAACCCCAGGGTTGGCCCCCTGACCCTCTCCTGGACTCCCCACCCTGACTTCTGACAAACTCAGTGGATACTCCCAATCCTTCCCTCCACTCCACCCCAGGAACCCTCTCCCCCAATTCTCCTCCCCCGCACCCCTGCCCGGTGTCCAGAGGCAGGGGTGCGCCTGTGACCTGGTCCCCCGTGCCTTGCAGACTTCATTGTGTTCGTGGCCTCGGTGGCCGTCATCGCCGCGGGCACACAGGGCAACATCTTTGCCACATCTGCGTTGCGCAGCATGCGCTTCCTGCAGATCCTGCGCATGGTGCGCATGGACCGGCGCGGAGGCACCTGGAAGCTGCTGGGCTCCGTGGTCTATGCGCACAGCAAGGTGAGCTCCGCTAGGGAGGCGACTGAGTGGGGAGGGGCGAGGAGGCTGGATGGACAAGCCGGGGCCCCCAGGGCTACAGGCAGCTGTCTTGGATATCAGAAAGGAGCGGGTTGGGAAAGAGCATAGAACCAGGGCCCACCGCCTGTACAAGAGGTGGAATCAACACCTAGCATGCATGAAGCCCTGGGTTTGCTTCCTCATAAAAAGCAGCAGGTGATGCTGTGGCTCATGTGGTAGAGTGCTAGCCTTGAGCAAAGGAAGCTCAGGGACAGTGCCCAGGCCCTGAGTTCAAGCCCAAGGACCGGCACAAAAGAAAAAATAAAAAAGTTTTTAAAAAGAGTTGGGGGGGGGGGGAAGCTGGGAAGGGATGTGAATGGTAAACAAAGGAGGAGGCTGCAATGCTTGATAAGAAATGTACTCATTATCTTGCCCATGTAATTGTAACCCCTCTGTACAGTATGTTCACAAAAAATAAAAATTAAAATTAAAAAAAAATAAAAAGGAGTTCCACATTAAAAAAAAAAAAAGAGGTGGTGGATACTATGGGTGGGCAGGGACCCCGGCAACCAGGCTGGCTTTGAGCAGGAGGCTTGGACTGAGGTGTCTTGCTCATGGAAACTTCTAGATTTTCAGGGACTTCTCTCATACTGCCAAATGGGAAGCTGGCAGTTTCTGGGGAGGGCCTGATTGAAGTCTAAAAGTTAGACCAGGAGACATGGCAAGGCAGACATGGGGTGAAGGCCTGAGCCTGGAACCTGATGGGTCATGGACAGGCGGGGACCCCTGCTGGTATTTCTGTGTGTGTGTGTGTGTGTGTGTGTGTGTGTGTGTGTGTGTGTGTGTGTCACTCTGCTTTGTCACTGCTCTCTATCACTTGAACCACACATACCAAGTTCTCTTCCAGACCTTGGCCCAGAGGCCATCTTGGGAGGTGCCCACCTCGCCAGGGGGCCTGGCTCCTCACACTCCTCAACTTGTCCCCAGGAACTGATCACCGCCTGGTACATTGGGTTCCTGGTGCTCATCTTCGCCTCCTTCCTCGTGTATCTGGCTGAGAAGGATGCCAACTCGGACTTCTCCTCCTACGCTGACTCGCTCTGGTGGGGGACGGTGCGTGAGGGTCTGTAACGGGCCGCCCTTCCCCCTGGGACCCTCCCTGGAAACTTCCTGAGGTCTGTCCCTTATGACCTTCCAACTCAGAGCTGGTCTGTTACTATCCTGGACCCCCAGCTCACCCCCCTCCCCCGGCCCATCTAGCCCCTTAATGAAACCTTGTGACCTATCCTGCTTTTCCCTGACCAGCCTGGTGACAAGTTGTGACCATCCCCTATGAGGGATCAAGGGGAGGGGGGTGAGGGGAAGCCCTCCCCTTGTGATCAATCTCCCACCTACCTGTGTACCCAGTAAACTCTTAGATGTGTCCAGTGCTGTGGGTAACCTGCTTGTATCCCCAGATTACACTGACCACCATCGGCTATGGTGACAAGACACCACATACCTGGCTGGGCAGGGTCCTGGCTGCTGGCTTCGCCTTACTGGGCATCTCCTTCTTTGCCCTGCCTGCTGTGAGTTTCCCTCTGCTGGGTTGGTGAGGAAGGCTGGGCAGACTGGGGTGGGGAGGGTGGGGGGCCACCATCACAGCCTCTTGCAGTCCCCCTTTCCATGTTCCCCCCACCAATGCAACGTTTTCCTAGGGCATCCTCGGCTCTGGCTTCGCCCTGAAAGTACAGGAGCAACATCGGCAGAAGCACTTTGAAAAGAGGAGGATGCCAGCAGCCAACCTCATCCAGGTACACAACCCCCAGCAGGCCCTGTGGCAGCGAAACCCACCTGCTGAGTCAGCACCCAGACACACAACTAGGACTTTGTTTTGAAGTTGAGAGGGATGAGCTGGGATGCTGACTGAGATTTCAGAAATGGTCCCCTGCAGCAAATGTCTACTTTGGAGGTTGCTAAAGCTGCTGCATAGCTAACTCTGCCCCCGACTTTCCATGGTCTGGGGTAGGGTGGAGTCTGGGAAGAGGCTGGATGTGGAGATGATTCAGGTCTGCCAGCCTCCCACTGGACAGCTGTCTGTCATCCCACTGGACAGCTGTCTGTCATCCCAGTCCACTCCCAGCACCTGGATTCATGAATGCTTCAAGCATTTGCACAAACAAAGAGAAAATAGCCCAGAAATAGACTTTTAGGAACTCCAACACTTGGTGGCCATGTGGGAATTAGCCGAAGAGACAGTAAGGAGCAGCCAGAGGAGTAGATGGAAGGCCAGGAACACATGGCCTCAGTGTCCCTTGGATTGATGGCTGATCTGAGTGGGCATTGGATGAGGCTAGAGCCCTGATTTTCTGTGACCCTCTCTCTAGGTCTTGGACAAGAGACCTCCCTGCAGGAAGTGCTTTGAGGGCTACTGTCACAGCCCACCTCTGCCTGCCCTCCAGCGTGCCTCCCTTTGATCCTTAAACCCAAGCCTGACTCAGCCCCTCTTACTTTCTCTCCCCAGGGTGGACCCTCCTTCCCCTCCCTGCTATCTCCAGCCACCAGCCCAGCCTTTTCTTCTTAACGTCCCTTGGGGCACAATGGCCACTGTCCTTTGGGAGTTAGCTTTTCAAGGGGCATTGTAGGGCCAGGCGGCTGGCACTGTCCATGCTGAGAGACAGCTGGTATTGTGGTACTCATAATTAATGAGACAGCTCTGGCAGCTGCTCCCCAGCCCATGCCAGGGGCCTAGGCAAGCAGGAAGTAAAAATATTTCTGTCTTAGGAAGATGCCTGGTTGGTGAGGTCAGCAATGGCAGCCCCTTGAGGACAAGAGTCACCCAAAGAAGTGGGGGAGGGGCCATCGAGAGCCCAGTTCTGCTTTGTCCTGCCCAGCAGCTACCACATCTCTCTGCCCTGGATGAATCACCCACTCACACTGGCACCTGGAGAGAAAAGGATAGTCCTTCCTTATCTGACTTTTATTCTCCCTACTGCTAAAGCCCTGCAAGTCCACGGATACTGAGGGATTGGAGCGTGATGGTCTTCCCTCTCCTCCTCAGTCTCTAGTATTCCCAAATAGTCTTTGACTGACAGCTGGGAAGGATGGAAGGGAGTTTAGCGATAGAGTGCTTGCCTACCGAGTAGGGGGCCTTGGGTTTAATTCCAGGTAACACACACACACACACATATGCACAGGCACGGACACACATATACACACACACACAGACAAGCACATACACACACAGAGTTGGATACACACAGTCACATTCAGATACTAATAAGTTAGTTACCCAGTCACATTCACTCTTCAAACCACTACAGAGAACTGTAACTGGCCCACTGAGGGTACAGTAGTGACTAAGATGTTGCTTATGGGCTAGGAGAAGGACTTTAACCAGATGCCCAGTGAATGGATATTTATTGGATGTGATAAGAGAGTCAATGGAAGTGTATGCTAGGGGCATCTGACATTAAATGCTGACTGTATACCAGGCACCAAGCTTTGCATTGCACAGACATCAGTTCATTTGATCATCACAACATCCCACTAGGTAAAAAGGGCCCAATCCACTCTGTAGGTGAAGAAACTAAGGTTCTGGCCAGGTATGGTGCTGCATGGCAGTAATCCCAGCAGTTAGGAGGCTGTGACAGAAGTATACAGAGTTCAGGGCCAGCCTGGGCAATAAAATGAGACACTATCTAAACAACCAAAAGTCTGTCAAGGCTTCCTTAGTCTAACCAATTTGTAAGGACAGAGCTGGGACTGGAAATCCACACCCATCTAACAACAAAACCCTCAGCAGTACCCCTTGTGCTCTGAGGGATTTGGCTCTCGTTATGGTCTTCTGTGTCACCTTGGGAAAGTCATACTTCTTTAGGTCTTGGCTGGCCCCTCAGTGGCTATGGAGCCAGAACTGGCTGCTGGCTCTACATAATCCTCCTCTGGCTAAGTCCTAAGTTCCTTCAGGGGTAGAGGACTGGAGGAGGGGTGAGAAACTGATGTCCATTGCTCTGTATCTCCATACCTCTAGGCTGCATGGCGCCTGTATTCCACTGATACCAGCCGGGCCTACTTGACAGCTACCTGGTACTATTATGACAGCATCCTCCCATCCTTCAGGTAGGTCCTACTGGAGTGGGTGTGGGAGGGGGTTGGCAGTAATGTCCCTCTAGCACCAATGGCCCCAACTTAGCCCTGGCAAAAGGGAGGGGTGACAGCTCCCAAGGGAGCATCCAGGTTGGTTTCACAGGTCTCTAGATCACTCAGAGCCTGGGGGACTTTTCCCCCTTCCCTACTGTGCCTGGGAAGAGGCGAGCATAGGACACAGGGTCATGGTATAGCTCTGCTCCTCAGGCTGAGTCCTGGCTCCTGACATGCTGGCAGTGGCATATTCACCCACAGGTGATTCCACAGGACAGCCAGGTCCAGCCAGGTCATCTTATCTTAAGTGGGAGCAGTCTTAGCCTGTACCAACCTGGCAGATTCTAGCTGGTTAGAATGGACAGAAACGTATGTGTCAAGGCCAGATGCCCCATGTATGACTATATGCCCATTGTTACTGTGCCAGGCAGCAGCCTCAGTGCCTGGAAGTGAGCCTGCTCCACTGGTCCTAGGCCAGGCTAAGGATGTATGGGGTAGCTCCATGCAGGGAGTTATTAATAGCATCTCCAAGGTACATGGAGCCAGGTGCCTGACCAGGCCCTGGGACGGTAATAAAGACTGCAGAGCTGGCTCTGGCTTGGTCCTGCAAGTATGGGGGCACAGAGTATGCGGCTGGGCCTGACTGCTGTGGTCAGCGATTCTGCGAGCCTTCTTCTCCTCATTAGTTCTCCAAGAGCAGCTGTTGGGTGAGCCCACTGGCTGCGCCTAGCCTCTCCTATTCCTTCCCTTCCCTCCCCACCCCTGGTCTTCCCATGAGAGGAAGAGGAGCAAGGAGCAAGTGCTAGGAAGGGGCTCCCATGCCCCACCTGGTAGAGCCAACTGCACACCTCAGATAGGGCCTCTTTTACAGGAGCTGCCCTGAGAACACACAGCCCAGGCAGAAGAGTGGGGCAGGGGCTGGAGGGGAGAGGGAACTTGGAATAGGGTGGTCTGGGTCCCCTGATAGAAGGAACAGAGCCTGGTCTGGAGGTTCTGGGCCTACTTGTCCTTTTGCTTCTTTGGATCTCAGTGTTCTCATAGGAAGGTGGGCGGGGGAGGTGTGCCCTCCTGGCGAGGGCACGAAGAAGTGGCCTAGAGAGTTAAGGAGCAGCTATATATAGCTCCAAATCTAGTCTCCAAATGCCACAGGGAGCAGAAGCTGGACTGGTTACCCTACCAGATCTCTGTCTTCGGTCTCAGTCTCCCCCTAAAATCCAGAGTTAGATTAGGAACCTAGGGATTTCAGGGTTTTCACTGACCTTCTGGTCGGCACAATTCCACCTCCAGACAGTGAGCTTAATGAGCAGAATCAGCTGGATTTGAGCTCCCACTTACTGCCTCATGTGAGGTTCTTGAGTTGTGCCATCCTGCACAACCATGCCTGGCATCCAGAAACCAGCATAGAAAAGGAGGAACAAAGCCAGTCTTTCCTACCTTCCCCTTTGCCTATTCTGGCCAGGAGTATTTGATCCACTCTGGAGGGTGGATTAGGACCTGGCAGGAGCTCAGAGCCCAATAGATAAGAGGGGTGGTACTGGGGTTCAAGCTGTGGCTGATGGCGCCCTCTCCTGCAGAGAGCTGGCCCTCTTGTTTGAGCACGTGCAACGGGCCCGCAATGGGGGCCTACGGCCCCTGGAGGTGCGGCGGGCGCCAGTACCCGACGGAGCGCCCTCCCGCTACCCACCCGTTGCCACCTGCCACCGACCAGGCAGCACCTCCTTCTGCCCTGGGGAAAGGTAGGGGCCCCGTGTGGCCGCCACCTCCTCTTGCTTCTCTTGTTCTTTTCTTCCATTCTCTGTTTCGCCCTCTCTTAGATCTGCCTCCAGCCACCATGTGGGTGTCTGACCCTGTTTGGGGGACTCCCAGGCGGTTGTTGGATGGCCAGACAGGTGCAGACTGAAGCCTTCTCTGGAGAGGCTGGACTCATCTTTTTGACTCCAAGGGTCTGAGAGGGAGAGCTGTCCTCACCATCCTTTCCTATCGTCTCCTCCATTCATGCCATTGTCCTCTTCTTTCTCTGTTTCCACGTCTCCCTCACTCTTCCATCCCCGCACCCCCATCCCTCCTGGGAAGCTGGAGAGAGGAGGAGGCCGCTGGCCCCAGGTGCTTACGGCTCAGGTAATTGCGGGCAGCATTCTGGGGTGTGAGGGCAGGGAACCCCCTCCCCTGACATGTTGCTGTAGGAGGGCTTGACACTGAATCTGCCTCCCGCTTGGGAGCCAGGTGCCAGCTGGAAAGAGAACTCTGTGCCTAAGACTGCTGTAGGACCTCTGTAAGCTCAGCCAACAACTAATGCTCTTGTCCCATGCAACCCTTGACCTCAGCTTTGCTAGTGCACAGCAGAGAGGCCTCCTGGGAGTCTCTTCTTCCACAGCGAGGTACTCTTTTCACCATCTGCAACCGTCTCTTTCCCCTTGACCTGTCTCTTCTGGAGCTTTTGCATCTTGAAAGAAGAGCCAAGAAAGGGCAGTCAGTGTTTGTCCCGTGCATGTTCATTAGGAGGAATTACAAGCATATTGGGTTGGGGGGAAAGCTTCCATAGAGACTTAGCTTAGAGGCCAAGGATTCAGTTCAGTTCATATCTCCTCTTTCAGCTTTGTTGTGTTTCATCGTCACCCATCATCCCTGAACCAGCCCAAGTGAACATTATGACCTTGAACTTTTAGGTGTAATTCTGAGCTCCAGGCTCAGAACAAGAAATGAAAGAAGAGCTTGAGCCCCCTCAGTGACCAGGAGGAGGGCCAGCAGAAGCTTGCCTGCCACCTGATGCTATGTATGTCTTTAAGAAAAGTCTTCAAGTCACTCAGCTCCTGACAGAAAAGAAGCAGTGTTTAGGCTGACCAGGGGCTCTGGATTCTCTGGGATTTGGGCTGAAAAGGCTTGGAGAATAGGGTGATAGAGATGTTTTGGTGTAAAGGATGTAGGGGACAGCATCTTTTCCCTCTTCTTATGAGGACACTTCTGGGCAAGAGCTGAACAGGAAGTAGATGGAGAGACAGAGCCCCCACCTAGGGCTGGAGCTGGAGGGAGGAGAAGCCTGATTGGCCAGGCCAGGCTGGGAGCTTCCTGGAAGAGAAGGCCATGATATGGCTCCACTTGGATTCCCCATCACTGCCTGAAGGCCCTTTAGGGTTCTCCCCATCCCTGCCAAACCACAGTATATAGGCAGAAACTCAAAAGGCTTGGCATTCTGGCAGCTCAAGGTAAGACCTGAGCATGGACTCTCTGAGGCTTCACTTCACCCTTGTCTCCCCTTCCTGAGCAGAGATGCACTGAGAATGGAAGTTATCCTGTAGCCTGGAACCTGTGCCACAGCATCTCCAGTCCCTGAGTCCCCTGAGGCCCAGGAACAGACTACTGCTCAAGGCCAGGCCATTACTGACACCATCTGTGTCCAAGACTACTACTGAGGGCTTGGCCATTACTATCTTCTGTGTCTATCTTCCCTGGAGTGTCAACATGGCTGGTGTCATGATAATGGTGAAGGAGTGTCCTTTCTTCCCAGGGACTCCAGGGGCTGAGCTGGGACTTTTAATTCAGTTACCAGGCTCAAGGCCAAGTGGCCCTATGGCCCTGTGGTCCATCCCCCTCAAATGCATGTGTGAGTGTATACACACACACATCCATACACCCCCACCTGCTGGCCACATCCCCAGTGGAGCTTGAGCAAGTCTTTAGGAAGTCGAGCCCGAGGAGACTTTTGGGGGGCTGGTGATTCCAGCACCAGCATCCTCCTCTTAGGATTTTGTGATCAATTTCTCAAAAGCATGGCCTCCTGACTACCTGTATGAGCACCTCATGGTTTGTGTGTTTGAAATGCAAATGCCTAGAACTCTCCCTTAGAGTTGACTCTGGAGAAGAGGCCCAGACTTCTGTAGGTTCCACATGTTCTCAGGAGCTCCTTCTGCAGAGTGTGAGAACCCCTGCATTCTGGGGATGGGGCTGGAGGGTAACGGGTGGGGATCCTTCTCTCTCACCATCCACAGAAAGCCGGCCCCATCCTGGCAGCTCCCCATGCTCTACCCACCTGCCTCTGTCACTAACCTCTGTTCGTGTCTTGTTCTCAACTTTCCAGCCAGATGTTTAGTAATAAGCGGAGTTTCTTTCGGATCCACGCCAGCTGGAGACCGAGGTACCCCCTAACCTGCTCCTCCTGTTCCCACTCCTCTTTGTCCCCTCACTTCTGGGACTGGAGAGGGGGACAGGATGGGTCAAAGACAAGGTGCATGTGCCTGCTGCCTGTCATCTGCCTTGGCTCTAATGATCCCCTTGCCTTCTGGGGATGCCTTTGCCAGGTCTGGGGCATGGGCACAACGTGCCTGAAGGAACACTCACAGGAGCCTTGGGCATGTGTGCTGGCTCTGCTACAGAACCGTGTGTGATCTTGACCAAAATGCTTCTCTTCTCTGAATATCTGTGGAATGGGCAGATTGAACTAGAGGTTCTCTAAGGGCCCTTCCCCCTCTGATTTGTGCCAGGCCTTGAGTTTAGCTTCCTATCTCCTCACTGCTTATCTGAGAACCTTGCAGATGTCTGCAAAGATGGAGTCTGGACTTCCCTTGCTAACCAGAGACCCAACTTTTCCAGCTGCGTTACAGCTATATTCATGGTGGCTGCCCTGTGCCAGCTCGTGCTTTGTCCACTGAGGACATGAAGAATAAAACATGGTCTCCCAAGAGATGCAAAGGATAATTGTAATTTTGTGCCATGAACACACAAAATGAGGAAGCAGAGGGGCTGTGGAGCCCTGGTTGGGCACTTGATCCAGAGGCAGCCCTGAAAGGGGTAGCTGCTAGGGAGAGTACCCGGTCCGAGGGAAGCAGGCCAAGGCACGGAGGCAGCCATGAGCCAAGCCATGAGCCAAGCAGCCAGTGCAGGCCAGATTTGAAAGTATGTGTCAGAGCTGGGAGTAGGAGCAGGGCTGGGTCATGAAGAACCAAAGTCTATCCTGGGCTTTATCCTCTTGGCCTTGCATAGTGGCCAGTGGGGACAGAGCCGTTGTCTGTCTGTCTGGGCTTCAGTCAAGAATAGCCTTTCTTAGAAACATGGGGTTGGATCACTCTCTAGCCACCACTCATTTGTCACATAGCTCTCTGTGCCTCAGTTTTCTCAGATGGAAATGAAGATAATAGGCTGGGCTTCCTCTAAAACCCTGCCTGGCTCCTGTAAATGTGGACCTCGTGCAGTTTAGTATGTTTGCAGTTAATATATTACATTTATTTATTTATTATTTATTATTTATTTTGGGTCTGGTCATGGGGCCTGAACTCTGAGCCTGGGCACTGTCCCTCAGCTCTTCAGCTCAAGGCTAGCGCTCTACCACTTGAGCCACAACACCACTTCCGGCTTTTTTCTTTTTGCTTATGTGGTGCTGAGGAATCGAACCCAGGGCCTCATGCATGGAAGGCAAGCACTCTACCACTGAGCCACCTTCCCAGCCCCAATATTTTACTTTTAAAAAGTTGCTTGGGACCCATAACGGTGGGAGTGGGGCCACAGTGAAGAGAGAAGCTGAGGAGACTCTGGGTCAGACCTGCCCTTCTGCAGAAATGGCTAGGTGGGCAGGACAGACTGAAGGACAAGGGCAGGGCAGAGGGGCCTGCAGTGAGACTGTTTCCATGGTCCCTAAAGAAGGATCACAATAGAGGCAGGTGACCCTCGGTCCCTAGGTTGGCCTTTGACAAGGAGAGGATGGATACTAACAAAATTCCTGTGGAACTGTGTGAAAGGGGCTAGCTGGGTCCAGCAGAGCAGTCAGGGGCAGCCTGTGCTAGAGCTTGCCCTCCCCCACGCAGTTGCAACAAGACCCACCCCATTCTTCTCCCAGGTACCAGAAGCCCCTTAACCCAGTTTCTTGACCTAGGCACCACTGACATTTTGAGTGGGATAATTTTTTTTTGTCTTTTTTTTTTTTGGTCTTGGGGCCTGAACTCTGGGCTTGGGTGCTGTCCCTCAGCTCTTCAGCTCAAGACTAGTGCTCTATCACTTGAGCCATAGCACCACTTCCAGCTTTTTCTGCTTATGTGGTGCTGAGGAAACAAGCCCAGGGCCTCATGCATGCAAGGCAAGCACTCTACTACTGGGCCACCTTCCCAGCCCTGGGATAATAATTTTGCATGGGAGTCTTCACATACATTATGGGATGTTTAGCAGCATTCCTGGCCTCCAGCCATCAGATGCCAGGATCATCCCACACTGTGTAACCCCACCCAAGATGTCTTTAGGCTTTGCTAGACATCCCTTGGTGCTCAGTTAGCTCCCTACTCCCCACTTTGAGCACTTGTCCCCCCAAAAAGAGCACAGTCTCTAAAGTCCGAGATAAGGATCCCAGGCTTATTCTATGCCTCTGGGAGCTCTATGACTTTGGGCTTCATGCCCTCTTTTTCTGCAGATGTGAGATAGGGATGGTAGATTCTGAGTCCCCCACACAAAGAGGCTGAGGCTGGCAGTCAAGACTTGTGTGCTCCTAGGAGAAGGGAACGAGCTCTTTGGTGCCCATTTGTAAACAAGGTTTCTTTGAGCTTTTCGGTTCCAGAGAGGCTGATGTGAGCCTTTTTCTGGGCCCTACCCAAGGAGCTAGAATCCAGGACCACTCCTGGGAAAAGAGTGTCTTCTTGCATTAAAGAGGAGCCAAGGTCTCTGACTGGCTGGAAAGTTACAGAATTCCACAAACCAGGCCAGAAGCTCCCTCCTTATTACAGAATCAGAGCCCAAAAGGGACCTTTCAAGGCCTCTAGTGCAAGCCTCAGCCCTGTCCCTCCCCAAGTCTTGCAAAGTACAAGCATAGTCTTTTTTTTTTTTTGGTCTGGTCATGGGGCCTGAACTCTGGGCCTGGGCACTGTCCCTCAGCTCTTCAGCTCAAGGCTAGCGCTCTACCACTTGAGCCACAGCGCCACTTCCGGCTTTTTTCTTTTTGCTTATGGGGTGCTGAGGAATCGAACCCAGGGCCTCATGCATGCAAGGCAAGAGCTCTACCACTGAGCTACCTTCCCAGCTCTGCAAGCATAGTCTTATTACACACTTCTTGCTACAGGGAGGTCCTCCTTTCCCAGAATGCCATCGGAGCCGGATGTGCTGGATGCATTGATCCAGAGTTCTGGGTCCTTGGCTGAAGTGCCAAGGCCTTCTTCAGCCTTCTCCTTCTCTCCCACATGGAGGAATGGAGGACAGGGTGGGGTTGCACGGATGGATGGGTGGGGGTGCTTGCCGGCATGAGAGCCTGCAGGAATGGCTCTGCATAGGCAAGTTTGGGAAAGCTGCCCTCAAACTTCAGTTGGAGTCTTTGGATGTGTTTGAGGGATCCTGGGTCAGCAAAGGGCATGCTAGATTTCAGAAGCCATCCCTCTGCTTTCTTCAGGGCCCCGATCCTTACCTATAACCTCTCCCCTCTGGACAGAGGCCCCTGCCCCCAAGGATGGTCCCACATCCGGGCCGCCTTCCTGAAGGTGCCCCTGGTTTCGAGATCTCCCTCACCTCAGCACCTTGACTCTTCACCCCTCTCCCATGCTTCCCACCCAGCACCGAAACCAGAATCTGTCTTCTGTGCGACCCTTGATCCGAAAGTCCCTGAGAACAGAGAACATGGCTTATCTCACCTTTGCCACGCCTCAGGCCTCCTCAAAGACTGACTGTGCTCTTCTGAGCTGGAATCCCAGACATTTTGGGAAGGGACTTCCCCCCAAACCTGTCCACAGGGAGTCCTTCCGCGACAAACTACAGGGGAGGCAGCAGTGACGCCTCAGGGCATGGAGTAAAGGGCGTTTGCATAGGTCCTACCCAAATGGCTAGAGTGGTTCTTGAAGCTCTTGGACACAGAGTTACTCTACCAGGTATCAGTTAACCAGGGCCTGTTCAGAGACAACCAAGGCATCCCCTACCTGTCTACCTCCAAAGTTTGGGGATGTGGTAGGGAGCCAGGTACAAGAAAAGAAGTCAGAATGCATACCCAGACATGTACATGTGTTTGAATGCACACAGATGTGTAGGGTGAGCTGGGTGCTTAGGGGGTAGGATGGGTGAGTGGTCTTCACAGGGGGTTCCAAGATCACATGGGACATCAGCCCCAGTGAGCAAGGGAAGGGAGGGAAGATGATAGAATAACAGGTTGCCAAACACAGACTCTTCACCAGGGAAGTGGGCACTGGGCATGTCCTGGGCATTCATTTGGGCCCAGCAATCAGATTCTGGGGCCTACTGTACAGCGGGCCTTCACCTTGCAAGCGGCCATGGGTACCATCATATGAAAGTCTGTGTAATTGAGACCTTATTTTGCAGTGTACTACTTGCACATCTGTACCAGGTCCTAGAGCCCTGACTTGACCAATGCGTGTGTGCACACGTGTGCACACGTATACACACACCCACACACCATGTATATCCATACTGTGCATGTGTACACATACCTCCTCAACCCCATCCAGCCAGCTCCTGTGTACAATGAGGACTCAAGGCCTCCTAAATGTGTATGAGGCCAGGTAAGCTCCGTTCCTCAGCAGCCAGTCTGTGCCCAAAGGGGTTGCCACCTCCACTTTCCACCACTCACCTGGGACTTGGCCCAGATCCTCTGTCCTCCTGTCTGTCTCTGACTTCCTTTTGGACTTCTCTCACACCTTCCACTCTGACATCTGTCTCCTGTGAACCCCTTATCTGTCTGAGAAGTGTGGGGTATAGGGGGGAGGTAGGGTTGGGGATGGGATGTGTTCCACTTGACTCTGATTCAGTTTCCAGTAGGAGTCAGGGTCCCCCTTTACTATGCCCCAATGGCCACCCCAAAGTCCTAAGTCAGCTTTGATCCCCTAGCCCCTTATTCCATCCCTGGCTAACTTGGTTCTCTTCCCAACTGCCCTGCCAGCAGCCGGATGGGTATCAAAGACCGCATCCGTATGGGCAGCTCCCAACGGCGGACAGGTCCTTCCAAGCAGCACCTGGCACCTCCACCAATGCCTACCTCCCCGGGCAGCGAGCAGGTAGGCGAGGCCACCAGCCCCACCAAGGTACAGAAGAGCTGGAGCTTCAATGACCGCACTCGCTTCCGGGCTTCTCTGAGACTCAAGCCCCGCACCTCTGCGGAGGGTGAGCCCTTGGAGGTCTAGGGCCCTGGACCAGCTGAGAGGGAGGGGGGAGGGTAGGGCCTGGGTACTATCTCTTAGCTTTATGTTCCACATTCAAGTCTGTTGCTCTACCACTTGATCCACATCTCCATTTCCAGCTTTTTTTAGTGATAAATTGAGATAAGAAATCTCATGGACTTTCAAGGTTGGCTTCAAACTGTGATCTTCAGATCTCAGCCTCTTGAGTAGGATTACAGGTGTGAGCCACAGGTGCCCAGTGGGAGGTTGTTTCTTGATATCTGCATGCAACTTGGATGATGATGTAGGCAAAGGCTGCTTCTTTCTGCACCTGGCAGCCACTTCTGGAAAGTGCCAGGGCTGGACCAGATTTCCTGGAAGATCCCTCCTAGTTGCAAGACATGTTCCAGGCTGGGGAAAGAGGATTGTGAGTAGAAAAGATGGAGGATGGAGATAGCCAGTCTCTTTGATTGCCTGTGTTGTGTCAAGATGTCCAGGCTGACAGCTCAAGAGAGCTTTTATCCTGGCAGGTTATAGAACCCCCAAACCAGTCTTTGGGAGGTGCTGACTCATGGAGGCCTGGGAATGGTTGATGCCACTGGACTTCCCTCTCTCTCTCCCTTCCTTCTGCTGGGGAGGGGGCCAGTGTCATCTCTTTTGCAGTGCAGGGCACCAGCCCCACAGGAGCTGTTTCTTATCTTTGCTTTAAGGGCCTTCCCTGGTAGCAGGGAACCAGCTATGTGGGAGGCTGTGGAGGAACTAGCCCTGAGCCTCCTCCCTTCTCACAAGAGAATAAGCACCACATGGATATGTGCAGAGCACCAAAGCCCTTTCCCCAGAGCCCCCGTCTTGCATTTGGGGTGAGGACTAGCAGGGTTTTCTCCAAGGCCGTGTGTATCCTCTCTGCCCAGAACAGAACAGATGTTCCATTCACCTGGCATCAGGCAGATGTTTTCCCTGCCTAACCACAGAGACCTTTGGGCCTGAGTGCCCTAGGGTTTTTGGACCTGGATAGGGCAATGACAGGCAGTAGCCAGGGAAATAGAAGCCTCGGCTGCTTGGTGCCCCAGGATGGTGCTGGGCCTTTGTCTATTGATCCATGTAATACAGGGTATGATTCCTTCTGCTGCTGACTCTTGGACTATGTAGGCCATTCTTGTCTTTTCAGAGGTCCCCTCAGAGGAAGTAGCAGAGGAGAAGAGCTACCAGTGTGAGCTCACGGTGGATGATGTCATGCCTGCAGTGAAGACAGTCATCCGCTCCGTCAGGTGAGGCTGAAAGCTGAGGTGAGCACTCCTTCCACCTGTTACCTGCTGCTGCTCCCCATCTGGGCTGCCCTCTTGGCCAGGCCTGGCCTGGCTCCCAGTGTGCCAGCTGCTGCCCTCCTGGAGTGCAGGAGAGGTAGGCAGGTGACAGGCAGCTCCTAGCAGGGCTTGCTTCTCTGCATCATGTCCAGACGGCCTGGCTCCAGGGGCTGGCGGCGTGGCCACTCTATGCTCCCTGTCCACACAGGCACCATCCTTCAAGCTCCTCCTGATCTGCTTCTCTGCTTCTCTCTCCTTTCTCCATCTCCCAGTTCATGTCAGGCCCTTTCCTTCTTCTCCTCATTCATGTCAGCACCTGTCTGTCTCTCCTGGGATCTCTGTCTATGCGGCCTTCCCAGCTTCTCTGTGTTCAGTCCCAGGCTCCTTTTCTCTCTGCATCTCATCTCAACTCTCTCTCTCCTTGGGTGTCTTGGTCTCTTTCTCTCCAGACTTCCTATAGAGCAGCACTTTTCAAACTACAGGTCGAGATGTTTTGAAATCAACTTAGTGAAACCAAATTAGTGGGGCTATGGTAAGCATTAAAAAAAAAAAATGGGGCTGGGAAGGTGGCTCAGTGGTAGAGTGCTTGCCTTGCATGCATGAGGCCCTGGGTTTGATTCCTCAGCACCACATAAGCAGGAAACGCTGGAAGTGGGACTGAGGCTCAAGTGGTAGAGCGCTAGTCTACAGCTGAAGAGCTGAGGGACAGCGCCCAGGCCCAGAGTTCAGGCCCCACGACTGACAAAAAAAAAAAGCCATGAGAATGCATCTGTCATACTGAGGGGAGGGTAAATAATGTTTATGAAATTTGTTTTTCAGTTACGTGTGTGTGTGCATGTATATGTACGTGTGAGCTGGCTTGCAATATAAAATACATTTTTATGGTAGGGTTGGCTTAAAAAGTTTGAAAGCCTCTGCTACATCAGCTGCCATGACAATGGGGACCCATCTGTGTGTGCTATAGCCAGGGCCCGGGTGGATCTAGCCCTAGATACTTGGCCAGGAGTCCTGGCTCTGTCTCCATTTCCAGCCTGCAGTTCTAGCCCCAGAGGCCCCTGAGTTCCAAACCTTGTGGACTCAGTTCCTTTCTTTCCTCGCTCAGACATCTGCTTGTAAGCCTCTTGCCCTTGTGTTTGTTTTGAAATCAGAGTCAGCAGGATCTTTTCCCACAGTCTGAGATCTCTCCTCACCCCCTTTCCTCTTCCTGCCATGTTCCCTGTGGTCATTATCTAGAACATAGTGCCTGAGCTGCGAGGACTGTTATTTCTTTAGCCACCACAGCACAGACCCTTCACACTCAGCATGCCCTAAACCTACTCCTTCTTCTGGTCCTGCATTTCAGGCAGTGACACCACCACTACCCACCCTGTGGCTTCAGTCATCCTGGACCGGGAAGCCTTTCCGTCCCATCTCCTGAATTGCTCGTAGCTGCCCCTTAGCTCTATTCCACTGCTCCTTTGCAGCTCAGCTCTGTCCCCTGAATCTTCCCATCTATGACCCTGGCTCTGGGCACTCATGCTAAAGCAGAAAGAACCCCCACCCCACCCTAGTGCCCACTCTGCCAGACTCTTGAGACTGCAGTCTTCTTCATCTTCCAAATAGCTCATCTGTATCCTCACACTGTCCCCTGCTTGGGGACAGACCCTGGACAATCATGTACCTGTTGCTGCCTCTCAGAACTAACATACCCCCATGCCTGTTTCCAGAAAGCTTCCTTCATCCCCCACCTCTTGCCCTGGGGCCAGAAAAATGCTACTCTCAAAGCTTGCCCTCTTAACTCCCAAGGCAAGCCCGTCCCTTCTCATTACTCCCAGCCCTCTTTCTCCATTATTTGATCATGTATCCTGTCACTCCATAATTGCCTGTGCCCTCTCAGTCTCCCACCTTGGACCTAGGCTCCTTGAAGCCTAGACCCTGGGGTCCAGGGTCTCACAGCAGTGCCAAGTATTTGTGGGATGAATGTAATATTTCTTGTGGCCCATCTAGCTGAGGGACACCAGACTCACACCCTACCTCCCCAGGTTACCAAGACTACAGATTCAGGCATATGAAAAAAAAAAGAAACTTTAAAAAAACAAAAAAAAACTTATTGAGCCAGCCACTGGTAGCTCAAACTCAGGAGGCTGAGATCTGATGATTGTGGTTCAAAGTCAGCCCAGGCAGGAAAGTGTCTGTGAGACTCTTATCTACAATTAACCACTAGAAAACTGGAAGTGGAGCTGTGGTTCAAAGTGGTAGAGCAGTAGCCCGGAGCAAAAAAGAACTCAAGGTCCTGAGTTCAAGCCCCATACACACAAAATTATTGTTATTATAGAAGTGACATTACATTTATAATTTACAGGGGTTACAATTACATAAGTCAGATAATGATACATTTCTTTTTAAACAGTGTCACCCCTTCCCTCACTCCTAGTTTTTCCCTCTCATCCCCACCCACAACTTGTATAGTTCATTTTCAACATAGCATCTAGTGAGTAGGGGGGGGGGGGATCAACTTTTGAGGGCAGGACAAAGGGGAGCATGGTGGAGGGTGGGGCATCCAGCTGAGGTTGCTTGCAGTGGCCTAAGCAGGACTGGAGCTGGACAAATGGGTGGCAAAGGGGCAAAAGGAACTGAGAATGAATCCCTTACTAGAACTAGGCCCTTCCTCTGAAACTCCCTTTCTCCTCCCACCCCTCACACCAGGATTCTGAAGTTCCTGGTAGCCAAAAGGAAATTCAAGGAGACACTGCGACCATACGATGTGAAGGACGTCATTGAGCAGTATTCAGCAGGACATCTGGACATGCTGGGCAGGATCAAGAGCCTACAGACTCGGTGGGTTCACCAGCCCCTCCTACCCTGAACGGGCCAGGGCTGGACCTCCGGGCGGCAGGCAGGGGTGGGGGTGGGGGTGGGGGCTGGGGGCTGGGAGGGCGGGCGGTGCGCACCGCCTAGGGGTAGATGCTGGACCAGAGTTTCTGGGCTGAGTAAAGTCACTGCCTCACAGCACGCGGCTATTTTAAGGCTTAAGTAAAACTTAACCATAGGTCCTCTGTATGGGCCCTATAGAACTGCACTCCTGGGCGGGGGTGGGGGGAGAGGGGGATGGAGGAATCTTTACATCGACTGTTTCCTGGCACTAACTCAATGGGCCTAAAATAATCACCAACCTCCCATCTCCCAAATGGAAAGGCAGATTGTCCTCCGTGGCCACCTCTTGCCTCAGGAGTCGCATATCTCTTTTCTAGGCTTAGAGTTCTTGTGGAAGGGCTCCTTTCATGGTTCCTTTTTCCTACAGGGTGGACCAGATTGTGGGTCGGGGACCCGGGGACCGGAAGACTCGGGAGAAGAGCGACAAGGGGCCCTCCGAGGCGGAGGCAGTGGATGAAATCAGCATGATGGGACGCGTGGTCAAGGTGGAGAAGCAGGTGGGTGTAGGATGGCGGAGCTAGTCGACTTGGGTAGGCTTCAGGAAGGAAGTGAGGGGAGGAGGGAGAGGTTCTCAGAAGCGCGGCCTAGAGGCACTGCTGGCTACTGCTGCGCCCCAGCTGGAAGCCTGTCCCCTCCTGAGCCCGGCCCACAGGAGGCCAAAAGCCCTCTAACTCTGTCTCTCAGTTGTCTGCCCTGGAGTGTCTCAAACAATTTCAGCTCAACTCCCCGCGCGCCCCGCCCCCGTACCCCCTACTCCCCCCCCTACCCCCATCCCCTCGGCCCAAGCTTTGGGCAAACTGCTATTGCAAGCCCCTCAGCTCTCCATTAGCCCCGCCCACCACCGAGCCCCGCCCACCACCGAGGCCCACCGCCTATCAGCCCCGCTCTCCCTTCGCTCTGCACCGCCCACGGCCGTCGCCCCGCCCCCGCCCGCCTCCCAGCTGTGCCCTGCCCCCAGGTGCAGTCCATCGAGCACAAGCTGGACCTGCTGCTGGGCTTCTACTCGCGCTGCCTGCGCTCCTCCGGCACCTCAGCCAGCCTGGGCACCATGCAAGTGCCGCTCTTTGATCCCGACATCACCTCCGACTACCACAGCCCCGTGGACCACGAGGACATCTCCGTCTCCGCACAGACGCTCAGCATCTCCCGCTCGGTCAGCACCAACATGGACTGAGAGGCTTCTCCGGGACGGGACGGCACTCGGCCGGCCCCTCGGCCAGGAGGCCACGCCCGCCCTCTGAGGCCTCGGGCCTCCTCTCTTACTTGAACTCGCTCCCTCGCGGGGAGAGAGGCCACACGCAGTATTGAGCTGCCTGGGCGGGCGGCGTATCTGCCGCCGGTGGCAGGCCCCCCAGGAGCATGAGATGCCAGGCCATGTGGAGGGCTATAGCAGCGGCTGCCCCATGGCCTCTGGGCTCCCCAGTACCCTGCCTGCTCCATCAAGGCTTGACCTGGCCTGTCTGGCAGGGCTTTGTGCTGAGAGTGGGAGTGGGCCCTGGGCCCTGGGCCCTGACACAGCTTCCAGCTATGCAAGGCGAGGTCTCTGACCTGCCCTTCGGGCAGAGCAGGGAAGCCCTCCTGCCAAGTCCCCACCCCTCTTGGGGATGGGCCCAAGGTGCCCAACAGGTACCCACAAAGCACAGGACCCAGCCACAAGGCAGATGGGCACCACATATGCAAACTATGTTAAATATGCAACTTGGGGACCCCCATGGGGTCCCCTCTGCCTCTCCTCCATTGGGAGATGGGCTCCAGAAGTAGCTGGTCTCAGGCTGCTCGGCCCTGACCCCATCCCTATTCTTTGGCTTATCACTCCATCCTCCCTCAGCATGGGGCCTGGTTCTCCCCTGCCCTCCCATGTTCAGGTATCACCTCACAGAGACTTCCATTTTCTGCTGGATGTCCACTCCCCTCCTTGGCCCTCCTTTGACACTCAGCACAACTTTCTGTATTCTCCCAAACCTCCCTAACAGTGCTCCAAGATTAGTCACACAAAAATGGTCCTTTAGTTTTCCAGACATAAAGAAAGCCTCACACCGACTCACACAGCCATCCATACTTGGAGACACGAGCACAGAGCCACCTGCTCTTTCCTGGGCCTCTGTAGTAGATATAGGTGTGCAGGCCTTGCAGGGAGAGGTATACTAATAGGTAGGTAGCTTCTCAGTCTTTTTGGGCAGGATAGGGAGCTTTATTTACAGTGACCCCAGGTCTCTTCAGGGCTACCCAGAGCTTTACCGACTCCTTTTCCTCAAGAAGATAGACTCCTCACTGGTCCAGGAACCTTGATTGCTGTCTCTGCCTGCTCCTGAGGGCCTCCTAGGTATCCATACAGCAAAACTCAGGCCCAAGTCTCTGGAGCCTGCACTCTACTTGGTGAGACCCCTGGCCTACCCCCTTTCCTAGTCACTCTAATTCTTAGAACAATAATCCATCTAGAAATGACACCAACTGTGCACCTGGTTGGCCCCATCCCACTTCTTCAATTCAGTTGACAGCCCTGCATCCTGGCATTAGTGCCCAGCTGCTGCAGGACCCCAGAACCACTTTCCTTACCCTTTTGTTTATCTTCTGCAAAGCCAATACAGGTGGCAGGAGGGCTAGGGGTAGTGGACCAAACCCAGCCTTCTGTGGGAGGCCAGGCAACAAGAGGCTAACACCAGGCTGCATCTCATACTGGGGACCTGCATGCACCAGCACCAAAGCTTGGGTTGGAACTTGCTCAGCCTCATGGGGGCCCAGCCTCTGCCCTTCGTGCCCTCTGCATGTACCATCATGCCCTAGATGGAGTCTATCTTGGCTTGCCATACCTGCACTGCACTGTTCCCAGAGAGCCATTCCTCTACCTTGCTCAGAGAAAGAACTGCAGAGAGGGGCAGGAGAATAGGACTATTACCCTGTGACCAAAGGAGATATGGGAGAAGCATCCCTTCCTTCCATGATCCAGGTTCCCCCTCCTAACCCGGTTCTCAGATATGCAAGTACCTCACTTTGTTAACTTATTAACTTATTGGTTTCATTAAAGTTTTCAGCAGGAGATGGTCTTTGTTTTATTCAGTGTGTATGGGATGAGGCTCCTGGTTTGGGGATGGGGACAGTTGAACTCTGTTGTCAATAATAAGAACTCACCCCCAAGTCTAGGGGGAAAGATTTGGTTTCATGAACAACTAGACTAGGTGCTTAAACATATGAGAAATCTTTCATGTGAGGAATCTCGCAGGCAAGTCGATCTATTATGATGACCAGTAAACATGGTACCATTTTTTCTAAGAGTTTGGCCAATCAGGAAAATAAAAAAAATGTTAAGTTTTACAACAAAGAGAGTTTACTATGGGGAGTGGATATCCCTGTTGTAAGAACAAATGGAACCAGAAATAGCCAAGAGAAAGTGGTTGTGGGAGCAGTGACCCCTTCTTGGGCTGTAGGAAGAGGCCAGGGGATATCAGAACCCACAACCTTAAGGTTGGAGGTGTAGCCCAGAGGTGGAGCACTTGCCTCATATGCCCAAGGCTCTTGGTTTAATAACTAGAACCACACACACAAAAAGTACTCATAAGCTTGCTGAGGGGGTTCCCCATAGTGCTGACACGGAGGTCTGAAGAGGAGGGACTCTGACTGGTCTTGTACTAGATATAGTGCAGCTCCTCTGGGAGGGCAGAAAAAAGCTGAATGGTGGAATCATCTGGGCCACCTGGCTGTTGCTGATAAGGCTGAGAGACAATGGTATAAGGAAGTCTCCAGGCCCTCTGGTCTCTCTTCTTCTTATCAAAGCCATAGTATCACACGATGCTTGGAACTTAAAACGGCTTTTGGACACTCGGTTCCATACACATCAACCCACAGATTTTCCATATTATAATAGAAACTCTCATCTAATAAGATGAAACTATGCATCATACAAATGAGGACACTACTCCTCCCCCTAAATGAAAATAACACAAAGTCCAGTAATGGTGTTCATCTCCAGGATTAGTCACCAAATCCATATTTTGATGATGTTAATTGTTCTCTAATTCAGTCACAATCCTACCTGTAAATAAACTCAAATTAGGAATCACTTACATTTTTTTGTGTGCCAGTCCCAGGGCTTGAACTCAGGACCTGGGTGCTGTCCCTCAACCTTTTTCTCAAGGCTAGTGTTCTACTACTTGAGCCACAGCTCTACTTCCAGCTTTTTGGTGGTTAATTGGAGATAAGAGTCTCATGGACTTTCCTGCCTAGGCTGGCTTCAAACCATGATCTTCAAATCTCAGCCTCCTGAGTAGCTAGGATTATAGGCATGAGCCACTAGCATCCAGCCATCACTTAAGATTGTTATAGGAAACAATAAAAGAAGGAGTTGGAGGTTTGCCTCAAGTGGTAGAGTACCTGTCAATGAGTTCAACTTCCAGTCTCAGACAAAAAGTAATATGAGAAAAGGAGGAGGGAAAAGTTAATATATACATGATACACAAGCAAGGAAGAAAATATGCATAGCTGGGGCTGGGAAGTTAGCTTAGTGGTAGAGTGCTTGCCTTGCATGCATGAGGCCCTGGGTTCGATTCCTCAGCACCATATAAGCAGAAAAAAGCCAGAAGTGATGCTGTGGCTCAACTGGTAGAGCGCTAGCCTTGAGCTGAAGAGCTGAGGGACAGCGCCCAGGCCCAGAGTTCAGGCCCACGACCGACAAAAAAAAAAAAAAGACAAAAAAAAGAAAGAAGAAAGAAAGAAAGAAAGGAAAAAGAAAATATGCATAGCTGCAGTAGATCTTTTTGTGGTAATTGGTCACATGCCATGGTTTGTGTGTATAATTTTCTTCTCTGTTCCTTTGCCCTCAGCCAATACCTCATTGGTTAGGCTCTGAGTGAAGTGACCCAAACGATTATTCCCAAAAGTCTGACTCCTTAGTGGTTCGCAGCATTTCATTAATTTTTACTATTGTGCATGGAATTATACTCAGCTCTTAGTTTTCATGGGGGAATTGGTCTATGCTTAACCCATTGCAGATACCAAAATCTGTGGGTACTCAAGTCCTTGTGCAAAAAGATATATTATGCACATCTTCCTACACTTCTACTTTCCTTATACAATGATGATGTATTACTATATGCTATTTTCTTAACAGATTTTTACTGTATTGTTTAAACAAGACAAGATCCGTATGTGTCCAGTAAAATGCTATCTATCATCTATCTATAATATCCAGTGCATATATAAGCTGCATTTAAATTGGAATTATATTTCAACCCACAGTAGGTTGAATCTGTACATGCAGAGCCCACAGATATGGAAGACAAGATTGACTGTACTAAGTTGGGCCATGGCACATCCCCTGTACTGTAGACATAGTCTACCTTTGCCCTTGTTGTACAGCAACAACTTAGCTGCTTAGTAATGAGGAATGACCATGCACCCTTGACTGTTGATTTAGTGGCAATGAGAAGCTAAAACTGAAATGGAAACTCTGTTATCTCCCTTCCCTTTGAGATGAAGACCTTCAAACTAGTAGAGCCAGTGTCTCAGAGCAGAGGCAAAAGTTTTGTTTTGTTTTGTTTTGGTCGTGGGGCTTGAACTCTGGGCCTGGGCGCTGTTCCTCAGCTCTTCAGCTCAAGGCAAGTGCCCTACCGCTTGAACCACAGCGCCACTTCTGGTTTTCTAGTGGTATATTGGAGATAAGAGTCTCATGGACTTTCTTGACTGCGTTGGCTTTGAACCCGGATCCTGATCTCAGCCTCCTGAGTAGCTAGGATTACAGGTGTGAGCCACTGGCGCCTGGCAAGGCAAAAGTTTTTGTGAGTAATAGCAGCTTTAATAATGGCCATCAAAGAGACCATGTCCTAATCTTTGGAACTTGTAAATGTCAACTTATAAAGACAAAGGGTCTTTGAAGAGTTGATTAAGTTTAGAATCTTGATCCAGGGAGATCTAGATTGTAGAATGGGCTTTAAATCCCAATAAGTTAAGTTTAGGGCCTCACACATGCTAGGCAATCGTTCTTCTACTGAGCTACAGCTCAGTTCCACAAATGCCTTTATTAATTAATTAATTTATTTATTTATTCGTCAGTCATGAGGCTTGAACTGAGCTCTTCAGCCCAAGGCTAGTGCTCTACCACTTGAGCCATAGTGCCACTTCCGGTTTTCTGGTGGTTAATTAGAGATAAGGGTGTCATGGCCTTTCCTGTCCCAGGCTGGCTTTCAACTGCGATCCTCAGATCTCAGCCTCCTGAATAGCTAGGATTACAGGCATGAGCCACCAGTGCCAGGCTCACAAATGCCTTTTTAAAGAGAGAGATAGAGGGAAACTGCACACACAGGAGAGAAAGCAATGTGACCAGAAGCAAGGATGGATGTGATGCAGCCATAAGCAAAGGAATGCTAGCAGCCACCAGAAGCTGGAAGAGTCAAAAAAGTGGATCTTCCCCTGGAGCTCTGGTGAGAATGTAGCTCCCCAGATACCTTGGCAAAATCCCAGTACAACCTACATTGAACTTCTGGCTTCCAGAACTGTTAAGAGGATATTTTTTATTGTTTTAAACCACCAAGTTGAAAGTCATTTATTACAATAGCCATAGATCATCAATAAATCTTTGTAAGAGAGCTCACTCTCATGATCTCCTTGGATTCCTGAAACTTTATATTCTAGTTCGGTGGATGAAAATAAACCATGCCCCCTCTATGATTAGAAGTGTCCAAGATTATTAACCTAGCACTAGGTGACTAGGTGGGCCCTGTGGAGAGGTGACACATCAGGCATTATGCATTTGTATCTGCTGATAACAGATGAGATAATCAGCAGTGGCACCTGCCAGCACCCTGATGAGATTCATCAGCCCATGCTGTAGAATCTGTAGACTTCCTTCTGGCCACCATGTCC